GTCTTTTTGAATCATTGCTTCTGTGTCCTTTGGGTAGATAACTAGGAGTGGAATTGCTGGATCATATGGAAGCTCCATTTTAAGCAGTCTGAGAAACCTCCAAACAGTTTTCTATAGTGGTTGTACCAGTTTGCATTCCCACCAGCAGTGTAGGAGAGTTCCTTTTTTTCACACCTTCTCCAAAATGTGCTGTTGCTAGTTTTTTGAATATATGCCATTCCGACTGGTATGAGATGGTACCTCATTGTGATTTTCGTTTGCATTTCCCTATTATGAGTGATGCCGAACATTTTTTTCATACGCCTGTTGGCCACTTGCATATCCTCTTGGGATCCTTTTTTAGCTCTTCTGCCTATTGTTTGATAGGATTGTTCACTTTGTTTTTGGTGAATTTCGTCAGCTTTTGTATATCTTTGTGATCAGTCCCTATCACCTTATTAAAATTTGAAATGAATGAATAAATGGATAAATACATTCCTTGCTATTAACAAAAAGAAATGAAAGTGCAGCCCTCTTCAGCTCACTTTCCATGGCTGAATTCAACACCTGTTCCCAGGCCAGCAGCCTGCATGGAACCCTCCTTGTAGGTCCAAGCATGGTGATGGCAAGGGCTTGTCCTACAGGCCTGGCAGGGGGCACCTGGCATGCCCAGCCCATGGAGGCTTTATGAAGGGAGTGTGCTCTGGGGCCAAGCCCAGGCGATCTCCTAGTGATACCTCAGTTGAGGCACTTTTTTCCCACTTGCAGCCCTATTCCTCCTCTCTCTTTAGTCTCCTATATCCACAAACATCAAGAGCCTTTGTCCAGGGCTCCCGACAGAGCCCTGTCTCTTCCCCTGAATGGCCTCTCCCGCTCCCGCATTCTGGGGAAGGTGGGGAACGGATGTGCATTTGCCTTGGTCTTTCCAGTGGTCATCACGTTAAAGATGCTTGACATGTGGATGTAGGAATTTGAGTCGAGTTTGCACAGCCCATGCACCCAGAAGGGGCTGGAACACTTGGCGGGTGCTCTTTAGAGCTTGGCAATCTCAAACTCCCTGGAAGCAGGAGTGAACCCGGCAGACGCCCGTGTGCCTGTGGGGTAAGGAAGCAGGAGGAGAGCTTCTAGAGGAGCTCAGCCCCCTCTGAAATGTTGCATCAACCATAAAGTTGATAAGCCAGGCACTGTTACTTTCCTACAAACTCATTTATCAAGATACGGAAACATGCTGCCTAATGTCAAAACATTTAAAAGTCTGATTTTTTTAAATACAAAAACTGTCCACATGCTAAAAATGGAGCTTCCATACGACCCAGCAATCCCACTCCTAGGCATCTACCCAAAAGACACAAAAACACTGATTCAAAAAGACACCTGCACCCCCATGTTTATTGCTGCTTTATTTAAAACAGGAAAGACATGGAGTCAAATGCCCAAAAGTAGATGGCTGGATTAAAAGTATGTGATACATATGCACAGTGGAATATTACTGAGCCATCAAAAAGATAAACTCATGCCTTTTGCAGCAACATGGATGGAGCTGGAAGGGATCCTGCTTAGTGAAATAAACCAGAAAGATGGTTTCACTCATAGCAGAAGTATAAAGGACCAGGAGAGAAAATAATAATAATAATGAACAACTATATGCCAGTGACATTTTACGGGAGTGGAGTGGGGGATGGGATTAAAAATGTCGGCGGGGAGGGAAATGCACTGGACTATGGTGATGGCACACGGGTGATTTGGTGATGGGAAGCCCACGGGGATTGCAGCTGAGATGGAAAAAGGCACAAAATGATGTAAAAATAAATTATTATATTATTGAAAAAATAATGTTGAAAGTGCTGCAATAAAAATGAAAAGGTCAAAACAAAACAGAAACCATCCACAGCCCCCCTCTGGTAATTGTATACTATGGAAATGGATAGAATATACAAAAGTCAGGCATCAATTGAATAAAAACCAATATTTGTTCTATGAGTTAATTTCAAAATTATACCATGCAAATGACTAATAGTCTCTATTGGATATACTTTAAAATGTGCCAAATAATGGATTTCTTCCCAGATGGCTTATAAATTTGTTTAAGCATGAAAAAGCTGAATTTTATTTGGCAGGGATGATGTGTATTTGGCTTTCGGCTAATAAGAGGCAGCCATTTACTAATGTTAGCAAATATTTTCTAATTTCTTAGCAAATTTTCAAGATTAAATTACAACTGGAAAGCTTTGATCCTATCTGCTGTGAGCCAAAGCTTAGAAATGAAAATAATACAATCCTTGCTTATAAGGAATGAATGGCTATAATGACAAATAAATGGAAAGTCTATTTGAAAAATTGGCTTTGGTTTCTTTCCCCCTACCTGATGAGTAACTACTCAACAGCTTGCCAGTTAACAGGAGAAACAGCACGTATCTGTTTGCTATTAATCCAGTGAAAGAGGAAAGAGATGTCTGTGCACTGAGAACATCTCATATACATTAATCCCCATTTTAATCTGCATTTGTTCATCCTGTTTGGCTTTATCTTGAGCACCTACTAGAAGATTTTGCTGGGAACTAGAGAATAAATTAGGAAGCTAAAACAAATAAATGCCAAGTTAGTCTAGAGATAACTATCCAGTAAAAATAATGGGAATATTTCAGAGTGGAACAGAAGGTGATTTTATAGAGCATATTCTAAGGATAACGGGGTTTGTGTCAGGAAAAGCCTCTCAGAGAAAATGTTAAATGAGTGGGCTTCTGAGGGATGTAGAGGGGGGGACGACACCAGGTGAGTCTGTGAGCGGTGTAGAAGCTGGACCCAAAGGTGCAGAGGACGGTCTGCTGGATTCCGGTCTTCTAAACCAACGAAGTCGATCCATGGATTCAAACTGGACAGGAATTGATCGGGTTTGCATGCCATCTCACCCATGCGCACGAGAGATACAGACGCAGCAGGAGAGATGACCGTGGTTTGGACAAAGGTAACAGCCATGTGCAGGCTCAACATCCTGGATCGTGACAGATCAACGAGGTGACCCTGGAGCTCGGTAGAAACCCGAGTCTAATCGGCCCTTCTGGTGTGGTGCAACCGGTTAGGACGCAGCCCTGCAAGCTGGCCGAAGCCGCTTCAGCGCGAGTTCGATCCCCCGCCCTGGAGGTGACCCCCAGGGTGCAGCTGACCTCTCCTGTCTCCCCGTTGCTCCCCTCAACAGTGTGCTTGGAGGGTCTGCCTGTTCTGCTCCCCACTCTGTCTCTGGTGGAGCCTCTCACTATCCCCTGCACCTCTGGCATGTACCCCAATTCTGCATGCATCAATAACCCAGCTCACACTCCTTCCACCGCCTCCTCTTGCCACAGTCCACGTTGTGCATGCGTCGTGACGTGGACATTGAGCATGTGCCTACCGGGGTTTTCTTTTTTTTCCTAATTTTTTAAATTTATTTTTTTCAGGGAAGAACTGGGGTACCGGTCCCAGAGATGTGGGGGTGAGGGGATTCACCAGAGACCGAGTGGAGAGCAGAATAGGCGTGTCCACTGAACTCCACTGCTGAGGGGAACAGCAGAGGGCTGCGCCCTGTGGGTCACTCCCTGGCTGGGGTTCGAACTCAAATCACAGGGTTGCTAGCCTGAAACTTAACCCCTAGGCCAGCAGGGAGAGCCCCGGATGGTTAAGTTTGTCAGGAAAGGGTGTTTGCGTACATTCATGTTGGAGCAAAGATACATTAATTGTAGTGAGCCATGAGCCAACAGAACTATCTTTTGCTTTATATAAAAGCAAATTTAATAAGGAATGCAAAACACAGTTGATGAGTTTATTAGAAGGGCACAAATGTTTCAAAAAAAAAGGAAAAAAAATGCTGCTTTAGACCTCTAGTTCTTAGGCATAAATATCTCAAGTCTCCAAAGTTGTCCATTTAGTTTTTTTATTTGATTCTAAGCTTTCCCTCCATCTGGACTGCTATTCCCCCCCACAACCAATAACCGATTTCAAGCCCCAGTGAAGTGAAACTCGGGGGAGGGGGTTTGGGGGGGAGAGAGCCCAGGGGGAGGGGAAGGACTGTTAACAATCTGGGTCTGAATCCCTGAGCCTTGACTATTCACTCTTAAACTGACCCTGTGATAAAAGAAACTCACAGAGGCCCTCCCTGGTGGCGCAGCGGGTTAAAGCACAGCACTGAGAAACTAAAGCCACTTCCGCATGAGTTCGATCCCCGCCTGCCCCGGAGGTGACCACAGGGCGCGGCAGACCTCTCCTGACCCGCCCGCTGCTCCCCTCAGCAGTATACTTCATCGATCTGCCTGTTCTGCTCCCCGCTCCGTCTCTGGTGAATCCTCTCACCCTCCGCATCTCTGGCCTGTACCCCAGTTCTGTATGAATAAATAAATAAATCTTTAAAAAAAAAAAAAAGAAACTCACAGAACAACTCTAGATTTACATCAAAATCTTCAACAGTGCTCTCTCTACAAGAAGTTAATAAAGAAAAGAAACGTGAAGTAATATACTATCTTAGATTTTCCCCAGTCCTAACAATGCCTAGGATCAGTCTGAGACTATTAATAGATAATCAAGTTGTTTAGCAATGAATAAATTGGTAAAATATTCTGACAAGTTATAGAAGCCAAATATTTGGGGTATGAGGCCTAGAAGATTCGTTGCAACCATCGTCTTTAGGTGTCGATATGGCTGATTCTAGGGCCCGTGTAAGGCAGCCCAACTTCAGAGTCAAAACAGGGGCGGGCATAAAAGCTTAAGCTCTTAACGTATCCCCATATCTTAGAAATCATCTTGCATGTCTATACTATTTCAAATAGCATAGTTCAAAATAGAAATGCAGAATACTTCCTTTTGATGAGCAGCCACTCAGAACATTCTGGGTATTTGTCAAGGGCAGTGATCATCCCTCAAATCCATTTCTTGGATGTTGTGAATGAAACAGCCAAAGGCATCCAGGCCTGAGAAGTGTCCTCCAGGAGACGTCACTCAGCCACCACCAGGCTCTCGATATGAGCAGGAGACTCAGGAAACACTGCTTTCATTACAAACTTTATTTATCAGTACAATTCACAGTTTATACACGGTGCAGCCCGCCACGGGGACTTCCAGAGCATCACTGAAGAAATAGATGTTGCTTCCTTTCCATGAGAGCCTGACTTCCTAAGATTTTGGTTCAGATTTTTTTTTAAGTTTATAAAAGTACCTTCAGCAAGTTAACAATATTTACACTTCTAGCTTAAATTTTGGAAAATATGCATCTGTTAATCTTTTGTATTTTTTTAAGATCCTGGGTTTTTTTAAACCCTCATCTGAATGCCACTTATTCAGAAAACCCCACACCCCAAGAGTAAAAGAAATAAGTTTTGTAATTATATTTAGGGAAATCATTTACTTTCTGCGCTTTAAAAATTATATATACAATGTACAGCAGATGTAATATGAAAATAAAGGTCAGGAGCTAGCTACTGGGTGTCTTTGCTGATTTTATTCTGAGTCCTAAAAACATCCCAAGAATTACAGGATATAAAATCAAACTAGAAAGGGTTATCAGCATCTTCTATCTAAAAAGGAAAGGTTCTCGAGATTTCAATTGTGCTATAATAGCTTTTTCTTGAACATCAGAGGTGATGTCTGCAATCTTTCCCATGTGCAAAATCACAGTGGCCCCGTCCAGAGTTCCATTCTCACGCTGTCTCCCCAGAGATGTGAACCCCGAGGCTGGGACCACACCCCTCCCAACTGCAGCATCATCTCCCTCCCCCGGGACTGTCATCCCCCAAAAGAAAATCACGTAATTTTCATACATCAGAAAGCAAGTAGGTGCTCAGCATGGTCACTGGCTCGTAGCACATTTTTCTGTGCCCAGACAACGATCCACACCTCACTCACCTCCACCACACAACCGTCGTATCACTTACATACATATGCGTGTAGATACTCTTCCTCTACCTTTGACAACACGCGGTTATTTATAACTGATAAATTCCAAATGCTTCTAAGAACAAAAGAGCTGTCTACAAGGAGCCAATATTTGCTGACCTGGCACTAATGTACCGTGGGCAGTGGATCAAATAAATATTCAGAGGGGCCACCTTTGCACCCCATTTCTCTGCAGTGCCTTGACCAGTAGGGTCTCTAGGGTTGCTTCAATGCCCACCTAAGCTGGCTTTCTAAGGACTGCCCTGCCTTGGGCATCCTCACTAGGTCATTTTACACTCTTTTCACATGGTTTGGGATTCCAAGCAGGAGCCCTGGGGTAAAGGACCAAGAGGTGAGCCTGAGGGCATGGGGTGGGGAAAGAGAAACCGCACATTAGCTAGGGGGTTCTGTTTCTTCCTAAGATAAGGCACTGACAGAAAATTTCTTAGGTAAAAGACTGCATAAGAATTTCCTGCCATTGACGTAAAGAAATGTTGTCATCCACAACAGTCCATTTCTAGGCTCAGTTAGGTACACCCCGACTAGTGAAGGGCTGAACCCTCGAAGCTACGTGATTACCAGAAACACACAGGACTCATTCTGAGGCATATGGCACGTCAGGAGAAGAGGAGGAAGACAGTCTGGGCACAGGTGGGCACCAGACCTGGGTGTTCATTCCACGTGTCGAAGAAAGCATCGTCAGACAGACAGGGCTGGCTCGGAATCCTAATCCTCCCGATGGCAGGGGACCCGGATGGGTGTATCTAACCCCCCTGGGGGGCTCATGCACAATTTACGAAATGCTATCAGCAACAGCCAACACGAGCAGAGGCGTCCTACCCTGGCTCCGTCGGAGGTTCCCGCGAGAGAGGCTTACTTCATGTTCTCGATCACAGCGATCTCCTCGCCCGCACAGGGGGGCGTGAGTCCGTTCAGGTAGATGCTCTCTGCCTTCAGCAGAGGCGGCAGCACATCCCTCTCGCTGGCCAGGTGGTTCACAGACAGGGTTCTCCGACAAGGAGTCAACTCCTGGCTGTGGTTCCCGCCCAGCTCGGCCGACAGCTTGCGCTTGATGGAGGTGGCCCGCTGGAATTTGTCGTAAATCTCCACGCTCAGCCGCCTCCTGGTCTCCTTGAACTCAGCCGTCACATTCGCGGTCCACTCGGCCGCGTGGGCCCGGAACTCCCCCACCTGGAGCAGATAGAGACACCCACAGCACAGTGAGCAACAGTGAGCTTTCCTTTCGCATCGTCTCATGGGAAAGTTTTTGTTTTTTTTTGCTTTCCGAAAGATTGATTTACTGATGCATACAGAACTGGGGTACAGGCCAGAGGTGCAGGGATGGTGAGAGGATTCCCCAGAGATGGAGTCGGGAGCAGTACAGGCAGATCTACAAAGTCCACTGCCGAGGGGAGCAGCAGGGAGGCAGGAGAGGTCTGCTGAGCCCTGTGGGTCGCCTCCGGGACCGGGAATTGAACTCGCACTGCAGCAGCTGTGGCCAGCTTCCAGTGCTGCACTTTAACCCACTGCACAATCATGGAGAGTTTTAGAGAGAAGAGCACAGACTCCGGTTGCCGGAGCATTGGCCACTGACCTCAGCTCGTATGCAGGGCAAAGCTCACATCGCAGACTCCATGGCGAGATTAACCTCCCAATGATCCTGGAAGCCAGACTATGTCAGCAGCACAAGGGGCCGATACCTGGCTTGTGTGTCTTTTAGTGAGGTGTTCTACAGAGACATCTACAAGTAACGTGACACTTGCATTGTAACCATTTTTAAGTATAAGTCAAAGGCCTTAAGTGCAGGACAGAGCTGTGGTGATGACCACCACCATGCATTTCTAAAATCTTTTCATCACGGGCCCTTCCTGGTGGCACAACGGGTTAGGACACAGCACTGCAAGCTGGCACAGCTGCTTCTGTGCCAAGTTGAATGTCTGGGCACAGCAGACCTCTCCTGTCTCCCCGCTGCTCCCCTCAGCAGTGGACTTCGCCAGTCAGCCTGTTCTGCTCCCCACTCTGTCTCTGGTGAAGCCTCTCACTGCCTCTGCAACTCTGGCTTGTACCTCAGTTCTGTGTGCATCAATCAATAAATAAATCTTTAAAAAAAATTTTTTTCCATCACTGTGTCAAAATCCTACGTCCCATTTCCTCCCGCACCAGTCACCCCGGTCACCTCGTGTCTACTTGCTGTCTCTGCACTGGCCAGTTTAGAGACTTTCTCGAATCTCGCCCTGTCTTTTGGTCTCGGGCTCACTTCCCTGGTGGTGTTCCAAGGTCCCCCATGAATTTTCTCCTTAGCACGATGGCTGCTATAAAAAGGCCACAGGCCTTTGTAGAACATTGTGCTTTTCATCGGCCACTGTAAGAAACAGTCTCCTGCAGAAATGGCAGTCAAAGCTGCCATACTGAGGGCAAGGCTCACCCGCTGGGTGAGCTGCTCTGCCCGCCTGGCTTAGAGCCAGGGTGAGCACCAGTCTCGTCATCCAGGACCTGAAGCTCTAAACTCCTCTGAAGTAGCTCTTTTCGGGGCAGGAGCTATGTTGAAAACCATTCACCTGCCTTTTCCTCAGCTGGCGACACCACAGGGTGCCCATCTCCTGTACTCCCTACGGCAGCTCCGACCTACTTGCCACCTTGTACTTCTCGCTGGGGGGTAAAGCAAGCAAAATTGCCAACGCGTGTTTCCTCCACCTCTGTAATGTCCTGTCTGTGCTCCTGAGGCTGAAAGAGAACGACGACTCAACCCACAGGAAGCCTTATTTATAATCCTGCTCTTACCAAACCAGAATTGAATCAAGAATGTTCTAGAAGCAAGCCCTCCCTGCTGGTGCAGGGGTTGAAGAGCAGCACTGTGAAGCTATCCACAGCCACTGCAGCACGAGTTTGATTCCTGGCCAGAAAGGAGACCCACATGGCACGGCCCACCCACTGCTCCCCTCAGCGGTGTATTTCGCCCATCTGCCTGTTCTGCTCCCCACTCTTGTCTCTGGTGAATCCTCTCACTGCCCCTGTACCTCTGGCCTGTCCCCAATTCTGTTTAAAAAAATGATCTAGAAACATCGCATGGGCAGCGTCTGCCCCACTTTCTTCTCTCTAGCACTCACCTTTCAGCTGAGAGTGCCCCACTGAACTCATATCTCAGGGGACAAGAGTTTCTCGCCTGGCAAATATGGCCGCTCTGGATATACTGAACTTTCTTTTAATCTCTGTTGATTTCTGCTTAAGCTTTGATATGAAAAATATAATGAATAATCTGTGGGATGGCCTGAATATTTCTTCCCCAGATTTACATGCTAAAATCCTAAGCTTTGCGGTCACAGTGTTAGGAGGCGGCATCTGGAAGTGCTCAAGCAGAGGTAGAGCAGAATGAATGCGATTGGAATCCTCTAGAAAGGAACCAGGAGTTCCCAGGTCTCTTTCCCTCCCCCTTGGGAAGCACAGGAGGACGACCAGACAATGGGCCAGCCCCTGGGCCGCACCCCATCGTGCTGGGGCCTTGGGTACAGAATTCCCACCCCCAGAACTCGGAGGGAGAGAGATGATAGCCCATTTCCTCTTCCTCAGCCACCACCCAGCCCGTGCAATTCTGTCACAGCAGCCAGAAGGTCACAAAAACAGCTCCCAAATGTCCATGCTGTGGGCCTGAATGATGAGCGGGGACAGAGAGCTACATCTACATTAATATGACATGGCCCTAGATTTGGAGAGTCACAGATAAAAATCTGTGAGTGTGAATGTGTGTACAAGTGTATCACTGCATGACTGTGTGTGTGAGGTATATAGTATGACTGTGAGTGTGGGTTGTGAAGTGTGTGTGGTGTGTGACTGTGTGTGTGTGGCGAGTGTTTGGGGGTGCGAGGTGTTGAGGATGAGGTGTGTGTGGGGTGTGTGAAGTGAGTGTGAGGGTGTGAGTGTGAGGTGTATATGTGAGGTGACCATGAAATGCGAGGTGGGTGTGAGGTAGGTGTGAGGTGAGATGTGAGGTGGGTGTGATGTGTGTATGAGGTGTGAAGTGAGCGTGAGATGTGAGGTGGGTGTGATGTGTATGTAAGGCGAGTGTGAGGTGTGAGGCAAGCGTGAGGTGTATAAGGTGAGCGTGAAATGTGTGACATGTGTAAGGGTGTGAGGTGTGAGAGATGGGTGTGTGTAGTGTAAGTATGTGTGAGGTGTTGAGGATGAGGTGTGTGTGGGGTGTGTGAAGTGAGTGTGGGGGTGTGAGTGTAAGGTGTATGTGTGAGGTGATCATGAAATGTGTGAGGTGGGTGTGAGGTGAGTGTGATGTGTGTGAGGTATGAAGTGAGCATGAGATGTGAGGTGGGTGTGATGTGTATGTAAGGCGAGTGTGAGGTGTGAGGCGAGCATGAGGTGTATGAGGTGAGCATGAAATATGTGATATGTGTAAGGGTGTGAGGTGTGAGAGATGGGTGTGTGTGTGCAGTGTAAGTATGTGTGAGGTGTTGAGGATGAGGTGTGTGTGGGGTGTGTGAAGTGAGTGTGGGGGTGTGAGTGTAAGGTGTATGTGTGAGGTGATCATGAAATGTGTGAGGTGGGTGTGAGGTGGGTGTGAGGTGTGATGTGTGTGAGGTATGAAGTGAGCGTGAGATGTGAGGTGGGTGTGATGTGTATGTAAGGCGAGTGTGAGGTGTGAGGCGAGCGTGAGGTGTATGAGGTGAGCGTGAAATATGTGACATGTGTAAGGGTGTGAAGTGTGAGAGATGGGTGTGTGTGTGCAGTATAAGTATGTGTGAGGTGTTGAGTATGAGGTTTGTGGGGTGTGTGTGAGGTAAGTGTGATGGGCTATGAGGTATGTGTGTGTGACGTGAGTGCGAAGAACTACTGGGGTCGGAGTTGGGGTGGGGGTCTGGGTCTGTGCTGGACACCACAAAGCTGGAGGGCGGAGCTCCATGGCGCTGCCTGCTCAGAGGAGACGCTCTACTCTGAGAGGCCTTCTCCCTCCCTCCCAGCCTGACCCCACCACCCCTCCCCATCTCCTCCACAGCGCCACCAGCCCCAGGGGTGAACATCACAAGGATTTCTTTTTATGCTACTGAAAATAGCACCTCAGTGAGTACCCCCGACCTACCTTGCTAATTAATATGTCCAAGAATTACCAGAAGCAGAAACACTGGGCCAGAAGACAAGAATACTTGCCCTGGAGAACCACAGGGGTAGTTTTCTCCTCCTCAGTGGCCTTTCACTGACATTTTATTACCACCTGCGCAAACCCGGGCCAGCCGCCCACCCTGAGGGCCCTGGCGAGGCCTGAGGAACTCTGTTTATGCGCCCAGCACCGTGTCAGAACTGTGTCAGAACTGACCGGTGGTCGCCGCAGGGAGTCTTCTTATCTCAATGAAAGTACAAAAATACCTTGAAGGAGTCTTTCATATTTTATGTTCTAAAGAAAACAGAAAACGGCTGAGAGCGTGAGTCTATTTCTGAAGCATAACTCCACCTTGCTTAGCAAAGTATATTCATTACCCGTTAAATTCCGCACACGTAAGGGCACCCCTGGGGGTGATGAGGAACGCTCCCCGCTCTGATGTTTCAGGATCCTCCTACCTCTGCCGGGGCTGATGCTCACGGCAGCAGGCATTTCTTAGGAACAGAGAACAGGCCACAAACCAAAGAGAATTTTCAGTGTTCTCAGTTTGAAAACTAACCAAGCTGCAATGTGCAAGTGCTTGGTTGGGTGACCCCCAAAAGGATCAGGAGGATGCTCTCAAATCCCGACCCCCCCCCTCCTGGTCCTCTCTCAGAATTTCATCTTTCCTCTCAGAACCAGGACACGGCTACCCATCCCCCACCCTTATCCCCCCACCCCACCCCCATCTGTACCTTGAATTCTCCTCTCTCTACCCGGGGCCACCCAAGTTCCTCAAAGCAGGATAAATACCCCGACTCCACTCCATTATTCTTTAGAATAATATGCATAAATATTCCTCAGAATGAAGTTAACAACCGTGTTACGTATCCCCGTCCCGCTAGGTCCGGAGTCGCTCCACGACAAATAAGTTATTAAGTTGTTCTTGTTTCATCCTGTGCTGTTTTGCTTGTTCGTGCATCCCGAAGAGAAACCTGAGGGGTACGGGGTGATTTCCTTTGACCCCCACAGTTGTTGTTGACAATAGAGTATTTTTTTCTTTTTTTAAGATAGATTTATTTATGCATGCAGAACTGGGGTGCAGGCT